TTTGAATATCATTCCTCTTCTCCATATAACAATGAGACCACTAAATGTGTAACAAAAATTGTTTTTAAATAGTAGAGAAAAGATTAAATCTTTGTAAACTAAGTTGAAACATCTTAAATCTAACCTACCATTGCTTTGTTTTCATGTTTGAAGACATGCTCCACATAAGTTGCTTTAGCGGCGAGGCCAAACAAGTTCAGCGTATTTTCTCTGCAACGTCTCTCCCGGGAATCCACCTCCCTTTTTTGCCACGAGGTTGGCAGAATATTATTGAAAGAATGTAACAACCATAACATCATGTAGTTCGCGTGTACTCTGAAATTTAGTATCGCATAGAGAATATCATATATATTCACAAACTCACAAGCACCAACACATACAAATACAGAAATGATAAGAAAACAATATTTACATAACTAACTTACAACAAAGAAAAATAAACAAACAAATAAAGAAAACCCCACAAAGAAACAAACTTACAAACAAAGATACAACGATCAAACAATTATTTTTAAAAATGAATATACAAACCAACGAGCAAACACACATTTTGCATACATACACATAAATACATACAAACAATCCTAAACTCACTCTTTGTCATATTTTTCAAAAATATCATGTACATCGATGAAATACTGTGGAGCTTCCACTGCGAGCAGCATGTCATCAGCTAAGGCAGTGCCACTAAACAGATCGCTTAGATATTCTTTTAGGTTCAACTGAAAGTATTTAAATGAACACATTTTTTTTGTCTCGATAGACGCTAGTACGTAATGCTGCAATGATGAAGCGGATATTAGGATGAAAATTGAATGTATAAAAACTATACCATGTCAAGCACGATTTGGGCTGAGTTCCAAATCATGTAAGGATAGAAAACAAAAGAAGAAAAAGTCAGTTGGACTGAAAGAAAGTTGACCTCAAAAAGGGAATGATACCAGGAAGTACACAAACTCCAAGAACATTTCTATGCAAGTGGCTCTACCAAGAGGGCTCTCTCAAATAGGCTCTCTCAGGTAGGCCATCTCAAGTAGGCCATCTCAAATAGGCCCTCTCAAGTAGGCCATCTCAAGTAGGCCATCTCAAGTAGGCTCTCTCAAGTAGGCTCTCTCAAGTAGGCTCTCTCATCCTGATAAAATACATAACACTAGAAAAGAGCTAGTAGTGATTCATCACATAATACATTTCACCCCGAAAGGTTAAATGCAGAGATTTTTTATACTGCCATGTTTTGGTGTTTAGAGAATAACTACGCAGTCGTACCGGACATTAGTTTTGACTAAGATAAGAGTAAATAATAAAAACCGAAAAATACAAACATTAAGCTGCTAGCTGATACGCTGTTTAAGAAAATGTCCAGAAATTCTATAAAACCAGCCTTCGATCTTATTTACAATAACAGGGAGCGAGAAGTGGGCAGTTTAAGAACCACGGAGAGCATTTTTGGGAAAATCAAAATCCCGAACCGTAACCCTGTTCTAAGAGCAGACTCATGTCTTAATGGGGGTTCTTAAGAAGCTTCGTATGTCTCCCCGCGTAGGGCCGCAATGTTATTTCCGACAGAACACAAACAACACGATCCATCTCATTAAAACCTTTTCACATCCCAAACACTTTCCTTGAACTACCCAGATCAAGTCATTTGCCGGCACGCTAAATGCGTTTCTTCCACCCTACGCGATATTATCAACACATTATCGACATTTCATACCTGATAACTACTTAGAGCATCGCGTAAGTACAATACAGATACGGATGGAACTCTTTTAACTGATGGTGTACTTTGGTTAGTAACAAACGAATCAATAGTGTGGAAATTTAAGGCAGTTAAACTTTAGCTTTAAACACATTCAACACATAGAGAACTTCAACAAATACAACACTAATTTATGATTTATTTAAAATTCTTACCCAAGAGCCTAGTTTTATCTGAAATGTCTTTATCGAGATGAGGTAAGATGGGTGAAACTCGAACTCTTTTGGAAAACGGCCATTTTGAGCCTACATTTTGGAGAATTATTTTATCAAAAATTATATGTGTCAAATTATTCCAATAACTTAAGTCTCATTGTGTGATTTATTCGTTGATAAGTCAAACCTCTCTTTCTCTCACCAATCATTTAACCCATAAAACTGTAATTGGGCTTCATAGGACATTAACCTCCATTTTAGGAAAAAATCCACATTTCTAATCTGGTGGATTTCAACTGTTAACCGTATGAATCAGTGATTGCACAGCAACATTTTTGGACTGTTAATTGACTTATTTCCTGTCAACCTATCGAGCTGAAACTTGGCTCATGACAACATATTCTTTCAAATTTTTCGCTCCTCCCCCCCCCCCCCCCCAACCCTCAAAACTCAAAAATCATTTTTTTAATTGGAAGATAAAATGAAATACTCGATAACTGCGCTAAATGAGATTCTTAAAAAAGAAATATTGCAAGAGCGATTGATGTGTAATATTGTCTTTTGTTTTTGAAATAGTCGGTGAAATAAATCTGCGATGTATTCATTGACATTTTTTAAATAACAAATTGCGAATCTTATAAAGTGCGTCACTTTTATGCATTTTTTTTTTGTCTTCAAAGTTTCACCCCCACGTCATTGCTCAATATTACATTTCATACAAGTTTATACGAACACTTTATTTTTAGGGATTATTTATTAATAAACTCAATTTAGTTTTTCTGTTAAAATTTCAATAGTAGCAAAGAAAGAGGGGACAATGATTAATAATTATGACTATAACCAAAATCATACAGATCATATTTTTTAAAGGAGTTTTTTCTATTTCCAAAAGTAAAGTTAAAAAAATTCAATTTTTAATAGGGCTTTAAAGTTACAGATTTAAAAGGTATGTCGTATAATTATGGATCTACAGGTATGACATATGTTTAGAGACATAAAGGTGTACAAGTATTTTTATTTAGAGATGTAATGGTATGCATACAGTTATTAGTTTAAAGATATGCAAATGTTCAAAGAAAATTAATAGGTACACGAGTAAAGGTTCGCTGTTGTCAAAGATGTAAAAATGCATACCAATATGAGCTCCTTTGAGAATTCCAAGACCTGTTTTATTTTCTGTCTCACTGTCAAGGGGTCTCCGCCCAGCGCTGCAGTTAAGTGAGCGAGCTCTTCAACTTTTTTTTCACCGCCAATCCCAGTTTCAAACGAATTCCGTTTACCTACATTGAGCTACATTAGACGACATACACATTAAAGCTTTACAAATATCGGGCTACTTTGTGTAGTTGAACTTAGACTTGAATACATAAATAAGTGTTAGCATACATGGGGAACTAGTTTTGTATCTATGGTAAATGTAAATTCTGAAACATTCCGCAGGTCACTGGCCTAAGCTTGTGCTCCGCGGAGACCAAAAATAGACGCTACGAGGAATAATATAGGATTATTTACTTATAAGAAGAGCTTCGGTTCTTATACATTTTAGAAACTACTTTTGTAGTTTATGAGTAATGTGTTGGGTCGTTTTGTGGAGAGCAGTATTCCACATGGTGAGTTCCGATTGTTGCAAGACATTTGATGTCTCTTTAGACTAGGGGGTGGGGAACAGTGTGGCCTGTAGGTCCCATCCAGCATTCTTGGTCTCAAAACAAAGCATTTTGACTGAATCCAAGACCTACCCAACAAATACTAGTACATTCATAGACTTGCCATCAATGTTCCCTCTAATGTTTGCTAGTTCGTGTGCACAATCATACAGTTGTGTGCAAAGTTTTACAGCATCAATTTTTTTGGACCAAATTTTACAGCCAATAAACACAAATGAACAATTTAGACAATTACATTGAAATTTGCTGCGCGGATACTCAAAACTGCTGCGCGGCGTCTGTGATTCAGCTGCGCGGCTGCTCGGCCACGCAGCTTGAAGGGAACATTGCTTGCCATGTACGAGGCGTGAACACTAAACAAGATTATATTTAATGGCGTCTTAGCATTCATATGAGTGTCAAATATAATTTGAACTTGTTGGCGAATACAGCGCCTAGATATGGAAATTCCTATTCAATTAAGAGCAAAACACTGGTCAGTCATTAAAAGGTTGGTCAGGCTTATCAATTAATAAATAGTTTAAATATATTTTTCCACCATGAAACAAGGCTTGACCAGAGACTTGCGGTCAGCTTTTAAATCTACAACATGCAAGGCTTGACCAGGGACATGCGGTCAGTTCTTATCTCTACAACATGCAATGCTTGAACAGAGACTTGCGGTCGGCTCTTATCTCTACAACATGCAAGGCTTGAACTAGAGACTTGCGGTCAGCTTTTATAATATCTCTACAAAAGTTGTTTTAGGATCTAAACCAAACTTTCACAATAACTTTGATTTATAAGTACAACAAACGGACCATAAAAAAACGTTACAATAATTTAGATTTACAAGTACACCAAACAGCTAGAAAGGTATTATACATTAAACAAGCCAGTCGAGAATCGCAAACAGCTTACGGCGATAAAGTGTTCTGGAGTACTGCTTCCCACTTCTCTCCATCTTTTGACCACCTCAACCTTAAACAACGGCCACACATCCATTTTATTCATATTGACCAGCGTTTTCTGCAAGCTCCATGTCGATGATTCAAATGGCTTGACGCTTTCTTCGGCCAGAGTCCAAGCTCCTGCGTCACTTATAAGCTGAGAATGTAAACAGTGCAATGGTTTAGATTAACGAGACATAATTCATTATTCTTGGAGCATTCTGCAACAGATTATTGACCAATTGATATTATTATTTTATCTCATAAATATATTTCGCTTCTGATGGGATTGCTTTCTATACACAAGTGGCCCTCCCCTTATTCAACATGGATGGGCTTGGTCGATCTGGAGAGATTACGTTTGCTGTTTAATGAGAGCGTGGGAAAAAATAGCCAATAATATTATATGGTACCTGCAAGATTTTGGACTTGAAATTAACACTACTACGTTCTTCATCTGTACATGTTCGGTGATACTTTTTCATCTTAGCCAGGGCACTCGATTCTCTGCCATACAAACGGTTATCATTGGATGATAAGATCTAAACGAAGATCAAAGTAAAAAGGCATTTGTTCCTTAAAATATCAAGAAGGCGAATTTAAAACAAACAATATCTCTTATTTTAATCACGAAAGTAAGTTTATTTTCGGTTTCGGCCATGTGGCCGAAAGTGACTTGGGGTTTTCAGTCATCTACCAGAAGTCAGACTGTTGTCTTTCTCTAAAACAACAATCCGATATTCATCATTGCTGAACACCTTGCTGTCAGTCTATGTATATGACTAATAATCTGCGAAAACTGCTCACAGTTACGTGATGACCTTCTTGTACTTTATCTCCGAAAAATTAAATTTCAATTAGGCCTAGGCAAATGTAAACAGTTTTGAGGTAGAAAAACTAGTGGAATAGTGAAAATCATGTCATTATTTTCATTTTAATATTTCAAAAATAAAATTTTGAACCCTAGGTTTATTCAAGTCATCCCTTTGTGATATTCATTTTGATTTATCATTATCATGCTCATCAATATTGTCATAGGCAAAGTTGAACAATATTGAATAATCCTAGAGAAATATTTTCCCTAGTATTTTAGTTTAATTTAACCCTCCAAAAAGTTAAGAAACCTATGGTTTTTCAATTGATTTATAGGTTGAAATTAATCATTAGCATGTTCATAAACATTTTTACTGACGGCATAACAAGTGTGTTCACGCATCACCGGCTTGTATTACAATTATTTAGCAGATCTGTTTACTTTTATGATTTAGGCGACCAATTTAGATGTCTTTTGCGACTATTCATGGAGACCCGTCAGAAGAACTATTTAAGATATCCGGTTTAAAAAATAACCAAAACAAACTTTCTTCCATGCAGATACTGATGGAAATTTGATAGTGCAAAAATAATTGACAGTGTTTCCTTCTGAATCTGGCTGTATTTGCGTTTTGACACAGTGAGAGTTTTTGAAATGTCAGCGATAGGGCGTTCACTGCCATCAGGATTTCTGTGGAACAGAACACTTCATATACCAACATTAGAGGCGTCACAGGCTATGTCTATGTCTAAAGTTGGGTCACAGTGAGCGAAAAATGTATTAGAAGAAAGCGATTGCTTGACTTTCCTAAAAGATTGTTCGTATTCTGTTTTTCAGTTCCATGATAAGTTTTTTTAGTTGAATAATACTAATGCTCAAGCACAGTTGATAGATCTGGAGAGAACTTGTTGTAAACTGCACTTGACCAAGAAATCACCATAGACTGGACATATCTGTGGGTGCCGGCATGGATATAGCTGCATCTACTTTGGCTCCTTTTGATATGCCATTGCTTGATAATTTATGCCCTAAATATTCAAATGATTGTTGGGCAAAAATGCATTTTTCCATCCAGCACTTTAATCCACTTGCTTTGATTGCCAATGTGATTGATTGACCAGTGTTTGAAAAAAAGTCTGTCTATTGAAATATTGAGGTTTCTTATTGCGGTTCTGCCCAACAAATTTAAGTAGTGATCTTTTACTCCCACAAATGACAGATAAGTGGATAATGCGCTTGCATCAGCGTTTATCTTCACACCTCCCAAAACATTAAGTTGGTCACCAGACGCTGACTCGTACTCTTCACAAGTTAGTTGGAATGAACATCTTAAAGGATGCCAGTTTATTAAACATGAAAAAGATACTAATTTTTGGAGGACTAGTCTTTTTTTTTTTACCATACCTGTCTAATGGGTCTAACACACTGGTCTGAACTATGTTGACTGGAGTTTTTCATGGACAGTTTCCTTGGTACACTTAGCCGCCTCTTTTGTTTCAACAGCTATTTCAACTGCTTTGTGAAATGATAATTCAGTGTCCTTTATTCTAAACAAAAAGTTTACTACAGCTTCATTCTTGAAAGAAAACATAAATCTTGTCCTTAAAGCTTCATTCAGTGGATTTTTTAAATTACGAAACTCACACGTTGCTGCTTCCTGTCTTATGCTAGCCTCCGATTCCTTGATTATCGCCCCTGGCTTTCTACTTGAATTCGACTAAAACTTAAATCATTCTCTTATCACAAATTTTGTGGGATCAGGCAGTTCCACCATTAACAAATAAACTTCTTCCATTGTTAATTTATTTAGGTCTCGTGGTGGGTCTCTCTGTTTCACCCGTGTTGATAACATTTTGTGGAGTTCGATGTTGGGTTAGCTAGGAAAATTTGTGCTTGTTTTCCCTTCGGCACATTGTTTGCTAACACTCAAGTCACATATCTAGCTTAATAGTCAGTGAAGGCTTCTTCATTACTATTAAGACTTGCAAATTTAGTCTGAATAGACGTATTCCTTGTTGCTAACTTCAACATTACTTCATTTTTCTGTATCATCATTTGGATTATTTATTATACTGGCCACCATTTTTTAATGATTTTATTTCCAAAATAAACATTAACTTAAACATACATATAACACAAGTTCCCAACAATGTTGACTCTATGCTTGACTCCGGAACACACTGCCCATGCAGACTCACACTACAGGTCCTGCCCATGCACGCTTTTTGACCTAGTTGGCTATACGGATGGTATATTCCGCTAGTCCACTATAACAAGTACGCCCATGAATATCAAAATACAATTATCTAACACATGTAAAAATGTAATTTTGAGAAAAAGACATTTTTAAAAAAAAAATTCACTGTGCAAAAAACAAAAGTGGATGAATATTTTTCTTATGAGATTAATAATATTTCTATAAAAAAAACAACAAAAAAAAAACAACAACACCAAAGGCAGTTACAGACGGGAAAAACGGTGAAGAGATACTTCTTTAGAAACAATTATTCTTTGTTATAAGTTATAGGATTTTACGATAATATAGTAGAAAACAAAGGCAAAATTTTGTTCAATTTGTACTGAAGATAACTGTATATCAAATTCCGTTAATATCAAGTTTATCAAAAATGGTATATACAATTTTTTTTTATACATTTAGGAATAAGTTTTCACAATTTTTAGAGAAAAAAGATTGGTTTATGGGAAAGAAAGAGGTAGTGTAGGCCCAACATCTAACAATTTAAAGGCACAAGAAAACTCAAGTATTTCTCTAGCGTAGAAATCTGCCATCAATTAACTCATTTATTGACAATAATGATTTAATAAATGATAATTTAGATTTGGTAATTTAAGGACGTGTTTGTAGAAAACCAGTAATGGTTGTTAAGTGGCACGAAAAGGGTTAGAGTAGGCGAATACTATTTGGCAGAAAAATTCTTCTTAATTCTTTTATGTTTGGAACGTAAACACCATTGCATAGATACTTTAAAAAAAATAAAAAATATGGAATTGGGGTCCGTTTTCGCAGTAGCAGGTGGATGTTATGGCAAACTGACTACCAATATTATTCCGATCACATCGGGTGATGTTTACTGGTATTAAAAAAATATGATGGAAACGACTCTTACATCAACTTTTCTATCAAATGCAGGGTGGGCCATGTAAAACCGGCACATCTCTGCAGAGTCGTAGCAAAGGGGACAGGGGGGACATATGTCCCTGGGCGACAGACGAAATGGGGGTGTCAAATCTGCCTTGATATTATTTTATTAATGAAAATAGTGGGTTTGAGATATGAAAAAGTAAAGGAAGGTGCTTCGTCCCTCTACATCAAACATACAGGCGTTCAAGCGATCTGTGTTAAGTCTTTCAATTTACAAATTACCTAAACAAAGCTTTAAAAATGTTTCTCCAAACCCATGCCCACCCCACCTTTCCCCGCCTCCGGGCTACGCTGCTGCAGTGCACAGATAAAGAGAATTAAAATGCCTTAAAGAAACGGAGGTTCTATGGTTATTTCTGCCAGCGCCCTAACCTAATGTGTGTTGAAATTTTTACATATAAGAGATCCTAAATCAAACTTTACTTCACTGAATTAAATTTCAAACTATAAATGATCCGATCCAGTGGATGGATGTCGGGAGTGGTCGAACTAAATCCAGTTTAAAATACTTGACCTTTGATAAATCCTCCTTGAATCGATTGGTGGAAATTTCAAAATTTAGAAGGAGCCCATCCGATGTTTCCTTGGAGCCATGATGACCACATGCAAATTGGTACATGTCTTCGCAGGGATTCGCTGACCAATCTATCTTCTCTATGATGGTGGCGCTTATCGCCACGCACGCTTTGGTCGTGCACACCTAAGTTTGGGGTGGGCAGTGCACAAATGGCATTATTTATTGCACAATTGAAATGCTTTCCCAAGAAAACTTGTTATGGACGCTGTTGTTTCTGATGTTACATTTCTGATAAAACTATAAACCAATAGCAATTATGGAACGTATTTATTGAGTTTTAAAAAAAAAAGGGCGAGTCGCTTTACTAAAGGAAACTTAATGATGGGCCAAGTTGAGGAATCTAATGACACACGCTAGCTTTCTAGACAAATCAAATGTGTGTGTATGAAATTTTTCAATACATTAAAATAAACGTATATTATACTGCCTCATAGAAACCAAATTAATATGTATTTTATACTAATTGAATAACAATTGACAAAGTTATAAATAAGCTATTCGTAATTTTCTATATATTCCATTTGAGGGCGATATGACTTAACAAAAACTGTGTGCTCTTGTGTGGGGTGTGGGGGTGTGGGGCTGGGTGGGGTGGTGGTAGAGGTGCACAGTTTTAACAAGGCGCGGGTCAGAGGGCGGAGTAGGTGGGATCATTATTTATGTTGTTTAATAGAAATAGTTTAAGAAATGTCGGGCGATAGAATGTTGAATTTAACAAAAAAAACGGGTCATCTTAAGATAAAACTTCACTCTTTGTTTATGCTTATGTTTATGTTTATGTTTATATTTATGTTTATGTTTATGTTTATATTTATGTTTGTATTTATGTTTATGTTTATTTTTATATTTATGTTTATGTTTATGTTTATGCTTATATTTATGTTTATGCTTATATTTATGTTTATGTTTATGTTTATGTTTTTGTTTATGTTTATGTTATGTTTATGTTTATGTTTATGTTGTTGTGCTAAGCCATTCACAAAATCGATTGAGTCAAATGACGTGAGAGTTTAGTTATTAAAATTACCGGTCGTGTCGTGACCTTCTTCTCTGATTCATCTGGCTTATCTGGAGCATTGCTGGCATGTCCAATCCCCAAGAGCATGAAGAAGTAGACATTGACCAGAAGCAGGACCATGACCAGGCAGCCCAATACAAACGTTAAATAAACCAGTGGTGAGTTCCTCTTGTTCGTCACACCATTGTTGATGGCCATGAACATGGTTCAAGCTGGTAGGGCCAATAGATCTATCACAAACTTTTTTATAATAGGTTTACTTGAATTATTAAAAAATTTTTTTTTGGTTTTAAAAATTTTGTACAGCTTTCTGGTAACATATCTCTCCCTTTGTTATTTCTTTAGTCCACAGCTAATGAACAATTAAAAAAAAAACTACAGATGTTTTCATTATATTCAATTGTTGACAGGAAGATAGCTAAACATTGTGATGAGCGAAATAAAAGATGTGAAAAATGGAAGCACCGATGCTGGTTTGTTGACACCAAAATAATGTTCTGGAAAATCTCGTAGATTATTGAGATTAAAATTCTATGATGCGCAAATTAACAATTTCCCACCTGTTTTAATGAGCAACTAGCAGACACGACGCTGTCACTGGTATGTACTCACATTAGATTTAAAACTAATGTTTGATTATTTAAATACAGTGTGTCAAATTTTACTTGTCATTCACCACAACTTGGATTATTTGGTAGAAAAAGTTACACACCCCGTTCTAGGAAGAATTATTCAATAACGAAACGTTTGGCAACGTTCTGACGTCAAAGTAAATTAACACAACACAACACAACGCTCTCATATAATAAACAACGCTATTTTGCGCATCCCGCACAGGAAAGGCGTTCATTTGTGCAAACTAATACAAAAGAACATCATACATGCTTGACCGGCCGAGTCACAGCGCGAATTCAGGAATTTCCTAAGGCCGAAAATGCATTTAACAAATCCTTTGTAATCACCGACATCTTTTAACATATGAGATACTGCGTCCAGCTACTGCAGTAATGCTGTCAACATAATTTAATTTAATTTTTTTGTACTATTATTTAGTAATCTTTTTATTGCCTATGTAGCACGTCGCGGAGAAAAAAATGCCAAAGTGTGTGAAACTTACTGAAAGTCAATGTTGTGTGTTTTTTAGGTTATCCTAAACAAGGGCGATGTACCGCCAGCATTGTCTTCCTCTGGCTCTGAAACAGTGGTACCTGCTAATGTATGCTTACGATGCAAGTTGACTGAAATGCGTTCTGACCATATGGCAAAACTAATTGATTTGTTTTTGTGCCATAGACTGTGGTTGACCTGTATAGCACACACCATGTGTCATAATTTATGGTTCCTAATTGAGTCCCTTCTTGCTTTACCAGATGCTCTACCTGTTGCTCGCCTTAAATATCACCTCTCACCGTCGAAGGTGAAGATTTGTTTCTCTACTGTTCTGAGCCCACGCCTGAAACTGGTAAGTGAGGGTTGGAAGAACGACAGTGTTAATTAGTCTCGCGTTGTTCTCTATCTTTACTCTGTGTTGTCTTAGTAGACTGCTGACTGCTTTTGGCCCTGCCATCTTCTCTCTACATCTCTGTCCATTTCTCCTTTTTTAGCTAAAATGCTTCGTTGATATTTTATTTCCTGGCGCTCTCGCAGCAGCTTAGCAATGGTATTAGTGTCACTAAACTTTAACAAAAAAAATCATTTTGGATAGGGGGAAGGGTATGGCCAAGAGGTGCAATGGGCAATAACTGATGTCATATACTACCCGATGAAAATTTAAATCAATTTTAAGAGTCTCCTTAATTTTCCTACTTTAAAAAAATCTCCTTCTCTTTCTGTAAGCCTCTACAAACTAGTATATCGATTATTGTAAACATATGGTTGACTATTAAAATGTTATTCATCCGGATTTATAAAAATTATAAGCACGTTAACCGCACATTTATACCCAATTTCGTTTCTAACATTTATAATATATTAAATTCACACACATGACCAGAACTCTGTCACAATTCTAGGTCACGCCCAAGACTCCACTGCACAACTAAGCCCTGACTAGAACTCTGCAAAACACCAAGGTCACGCGCTAGAACTCTGTGGCACACCAAGGTTATGCCATAGACCAAGGGTCACCAAACTTTTTTCTCAGGGAGCTGGATAACGGACAAAATGACGAGCGTGGGCGGATAATCACTCTGTAGAATACTTGCAAGCCAGAACGAAAGCTCTGGGAAAAAATATGAAAAACTAAGTTTAGCATTCCATGTTACTCATGAGTGCAATGCGCAAAAATCAATGACAACAAAAAAATAATTATTTACTACAAAAATTATCAAAGAAGGTGACGTTAGCGAAAAGTCAGTTACATCAGAAGAAGTGCGCACTTGTCCGGATCTCGCAAAATCTGCGGCAAAAAAGTTTTGTGAGATTTGTGAAACTGACGTTTGGCTTTCAAGATATCATCGATGTTTGGTTGCAATTGCTGAATAGTTTATTGCTTTCAAACGTTCATAAGTCAAGCTCGGTCGATTGTTGGCACATATTGTTCACATACTTCAGTTTTTAAATGATTTTCCCACAGACATAAGCTGCACCACATAGTACGTATGCCCTGAGAGAAGAAGGATGGCAGTGTTGATTTTGGAGATTTGGTTTGCAGGGGGAGGGAGGTCTGAATATTTAAGTCTAAAAAATTAACACTACAACATTTTCGTTATGATAGTGGTGATGGTAATATTGTTGCTTTGCGTGTTTTCACAATAAAATATAAACATCCACTGGTTAAGTTGATCGCGTAACATAAGATTGAACTAAAAAGTATAGGAGTAGAATACTTTAGAATACTTCCTTACATATTAATTGACATAATTGGAAGCTGCCTACAACGTTCAACAACACAATATGTTGATTTTTTAAAATAAAGCCACATGTTTTCAACTGGTGAATGATGACACATAACGAGATGAGCATTGCATTGGCGTTTCAGAGCGTTTATTTGAATGTTTATATCAGTGACATGCTTGTACGAGCATTGCTTTATAGAAATATTAGACATTGTGTACGAGCATTGCTTTACAGAGGTACTATACATTGTGTGCGAGCATTACTTTACAGAGGTACTATACATTGTGTGCGAGCATTGCTTTACAGAAATACTAGACATTTGCTTGATGGTAAAAGATTGCCCAACAGTTACAAGGCAGCAAAGACAGAGTTACTAGGCAGTTAATCAGTTAAGAGGAAGAGTTACTAGGCAGTAAAGAGGGAGAGTTACTAGGCTATAAAGTGGGAGAGTTACTAGGCAATAAAGAGCGAGAATTACTAGGCAATTAAGGGGGAGAGTTACCAGGCAATAAAGAGGGAGAGTTACTAGGCTATAAAGGGGGAGAGTTACTAGGCAATAAAGGGAAGAGTTACCAGGCAATGAAGAGGGAGGGTTACTAGGAAATAAAGAGTGAGAGTTATTAGGCAGTGAAGAGGGAGACTTACTAGGCAATTAAGGGGGAGAGTTACCAGGCAATAAAGAGGGAGAGTTACTAGGAAATAAAGATGGAGAGTTACTAGGCAATAAAGGGAGAGAGTTACTAGGTAGTAAAGGCTGAGAGTTACTAGGCAATAAAGGGGGAGAGTTACTAGGCAGTAAAAACAGAGTTACCAGGTAAATAAAGGCAGAATTACTATTCAATAAAGACAGTTCCTAGGTAGTGGCTATAGCTACTTGTTAGTACATAGAGTCATTAAGTAGCATATAAAGAGTTATTAGAGAGAGAGAGGAGGAAGAGAGAGAGAGAGAGAGAGAGACAGTGAGAGACATTTTGACATACTATAGACATACTAGAAAGTTACTTTAGATATACTAGAGAGTTTGTATAGAGCTTCTAGACCATTACTATATAGTTTCCAGTCAGTCACTATGATTTACTAGACAGTTATTATTGAGTTATGGACAGTTATTATAAAGTTGCTTGAGAGTTATTATAGATTCATTGACAGTTATTATGAAGTTGATAGACAGTTATTATAGATTCATTGACAGTTATTATAAATTTGATAGGCAGTTATTATAGATTTATTGACAGTTATTATAAATTTGATAGACAGTTATTATAGATTCATTGACAGTTATTATAAATTTGATAGACAGTTATTATAGATTTATTGACAGTTATTATAAATTTGATAGACAGTTATTATAGATTCATTGACAGTTATTATAAATTTGATAGACAGTTATTATAGATTCATTGACAGTTATTATAAAGTTGATAGACAGTTGTTATAGATTCATTGACAGTTATTATAAAGTTGATAGACAATTATTATAGATTCATTGACAGTTATTATAAATTTGATAGACAGTTATTATAGATTCATTGACAGTTATTATAATGTTGATAGACAGTTATTATAGATTTATTGACAGTTAAAGTTGATAAATAGCTATTATAGAAATTCTATAGAGTTAATGTAGTGTTTAGGAAATTTTTAAAAAAGCTCTTGACAAATAATTCCATGAAGCAAAATAAGTTGAAATAATTTTAGTGAGATTAAAGTTAAAATATAACATCGGATAACTAGTTGCTAGACATGTAAGGATAACGTGTTGCTATACATATAGGAATCACTAGTTGCTAGGCATATAGGGATCACTATTTGCTAGACATATAGGGATCACTTTTTGCTAGACATATAGGAATCACTAGTTGCTAGGCATATAGGGATCACTAGTTGCTAGACATCTAGGGGTCACTTTTTGCTAGACATATAGGAATCACTAGTTGCTAGGCATATAGGGATCTCTAGTTGCTAGACATATAGGAATAACTAGTACTAGACATATAGTATCACTAGTTGCTGGACATATAGGAATCACTAGTTGCTTGGCATATAGGGATCAATAGTTGCTAGACACATAGGGATCACTTGTTGCTAAACATATAATGATCCCTAATTACTAGACATATAGGAATAACTAGTTTCTAATGATATAGGGATCTACTGGCAGTATTAAGTACCAAATTAAATTGATCATAATGAGATTTATGCAGCTTCGAGTTCTCATGATGGGGGGATCAAAATATCTGTTGGATGAAATGAGTTTATATTACACAAATATGTAAGCATTGTACAGGGATTTATACATTTGCTTACAGATGTAACTTAATCCAAATAAAACGAACCATTTCATAGCGATGTGTTCTGTAT